CTACCCCCCCCCCCCCTACCCACCGTCTTCGTTGGATGCAGCGACGTGTCGCGGAAGGAGCGGCCATGCTCCGCACCAAGGGCGAGGCCGGCACCGGCAACGTCGTCGAAGCCGTCCGCCACGCTCGCGCCGTACAAAAGGAGATCAGAATGGTAAGAGGCACTGGTAAGAGAAGGACTGGGGGTTAGAGGGACGTGTCTGTGACACTCTTCTGCTGCGTTTCAAATTTTTCGACGAGAGAGACTCCCTCACGGCCGACGCATCCCGTTGGCGGGGCACGATTTCAGGGCTCCAAGTGGTCGCGAGGCCAGTTGCTCGGCCCCGAAAACGTGGCACATGGTGGCGTCATTCGGACCGTGCGGGCGGCAGACAGGGAGGAACCGTCACGTTGTCGTGGTAGAAATTAGCTCCGTGGAGAATGGAGAAGTTCTAAAAGAGAGGGCAAGGATCGCGGCAATGTGCTTGGGAGTCGCGGTCTGGCTGCTTTTCTATTCCCAGCAACGGTTCCGACGGCCCGCAGGGCAGCTGCGAACGGAGATTGATTTGGGACGACGGGCCGGCCATTGCGGTGTGGTGTTTTGTCATCCTTGTGTACGCCCTGTTTCTCGATCGTTGTTTGGTAGACCGCCTCCCATGATGATTAGGAAGACCCATGAAGCGTTTTTGTCGGTTGCATCGGCGGCGGCCGTGTGGGGGCCCCAATCCACGGAGCTTGTACACTGCGTCGCACCGTCCAGTAAAGTCTTACCCTACTCCTCCTCCTGCTGCTGCTGCTGCCCCTGCTGTTGTCAACGCGACGGCGTCCGCGGGCGTGCAGGTGGCGTCCATGGACGAGGACGAGCTCTTCGTGTTCGCGAAGCAGATCCAGGCTCCATTCTCCCTGGTGCAGGAGGTGGCCAAGAACGGCCGCCTGCCCGTCGTGAACTTTGCCGCGGGAGGCATCGCTACCCCGGCCGACGCCGCGTTGATGATGCAGCTTGGTGTTGACGGTGAGACCCCGCCGCCGCCGACAACTACCTACTCGTGGTTCAGCCCGACTGGCGGCCTCGAGAATCGGGCGGTTCGTTGTCACCAGGGTGCTTCCCTGTCATCTTTCCCTTCTATGCAGCGTGTTGTTCGTACAAGTTACATAACTGTCTCGACACGCGCGGCAGGAAAATGTGTAAAAGTGGCCAGGAGTGTCACCTCTGACGTGGAGTAAATATTGATAACGCGGCGAAATAGATGCCGTCTCGCGTGCTCTGATGCCATGAACAACATCAGCAGTTGTGTGAACATGCATCTGCGTGGTTCCTTTATTGTGGTTGCCCCTCGTCGTGTGTCTCGTGTAGGCCTTGGTCGCCCTTTTGCTTGCACGTCACCTTGAAACGATCGGTCTTGGCGGGTTCGGGGGGGGGGAGTTTCCGAACCTGCGCACCTGAAGCCACCAAATCTAGCCTTTGTGCCCGTTCCACTTGATGCGGCAACACGCTTTTTTTCCCCAGAAACGCTTACCCTACCGCTACGGTAGCTTGGGGATGATCTAGAAGTCGTCCTGAACCCGACAATGCCACCACAGGGCACTGTTGTTGTTGTTGTTGTTGTTGTTGTTGTTGTTGTTGTTGTTGTTGTTGTTGTTGTCGTTGTTGCCTTCACATGTAGAACCTTGCCGGTCGCTCCTCAGTAGTTCCCTGTCGGTCCAACTAACGCGGACGACTACCGTGACAAGTGCACCATGTTATATGTAGTTACACATGCTGGATATCGACGACAATGTTGTGGTAAATGTTTTAATTTGACCCTTCTTATGTATTTCATTCTTGGCCGCCGGGCAAATCCGTCAGGTGTGTTTGTGGGGTCGGGCATCTTCAAGAGCGCCCACGCGGCGGAGCGCGCGAAGGCCATCGTACAGGCGACCACTCACTACAAGGATGCCAAGGTGCGGTAGAGGATTTGTATACAATATACCATACCTTGGTAACGGCAGCAGCAGCGCGCATAGTGATGGGTCGGAAAGAAACCGCACGACACCCGATACACCCGTATCTCCTCGCAGAAACTGATTTTTGGCGTGCTGTATTCGTTTATGGCGCTGTCCACATGCCCGGCGAGTGCTCCGACGTGCTCCCACCGTATCGTTGATGGATTTTTGTTTTGTGTCATCTCAACACCCCGTTCGTGTGCACTAAGAGTTGATCGATAAGATGTGCTTGTTGAGCTTTGGCCAAGACCGCCACACTCGCTTTTTCACAGACAGTATGATGAGAACTGGTGCATGCTGCAAAACACCAACACACACTCATGAAGGATAATTTCGTTTCATGTCGGAGAGGATCATGTCCAGTTTACTAATGGGTCACCGCTGAAACTGGCGCGTCGGTCCTGCGCCTACAGGACCTATGTGCGACGCTCCTCGACGTATGAATACCGTATATGACGTAAGACAACACACCACCTTGACCGATTTTCGAAGCTCGATTCCTCAACAACAGGAAGAGTCACAGCGCCATAAACGGCGGCGTTGAAACCGTCTGGTCGAGAGATAAATTAGCTGTTCGACAATGTATCATTTCGTTTACGCATCCTCTTCGTCGTGGAGTAATCGAGCTTTGAAAATCGGTCCAGGGGGTGTGTTGTCCTGGGTCATTTACGGTACACCCCCCGCCCCTCCCCCCGCTCTCGAGGATGCGCGATCAATGGTCTGACAACCAAGGCGTGCAAAACAAGAGTACGCCGCTCCTCTCACGCCATTGGTATGCACCTCGGACATAACATGATTTCCCCGTGTTCCACTCAACTGTGAAAATAGCCAGTCGTCCTCGACAGACTTCGGGAACATGTACCCGTGATGTTCAAACGAATCTTACTTTTATTTTGCCGTGCCTCAGATCCTTGCGGAGGTATCTACCGGGCTGGGCAAGGCCATGGTCGGTGTGTCCGATATCGAGGGCGACGCCGTTAACTTCCGCGGGCGCGAGGGGGGAGGGTCTGAGGGGCAGATCCCAAAGAAGCGCAAGCTCGAGGGGAAGACCGAGACCCAGCTCTACGGTTCCAGCTGGGAGGCATAGGGATGAGGAAGGTTGTCAGCTGGGAGGCGTAGGGACTAGAAAAGCGCAGTTGCGCCCCCCGTCTCAACAACGGGAAGGAGCTTTTTTTACCGTTGCTGTGCAGTATATGCCTCCTTCCGGCTGAATGTTGTGACTGGACCCGAAAGATGGTCTCGTGGACTCCATTGCCCCAGGCATGGGCCCACCGTGGAGAACGGGGCGGGAGGGTCGGCGGCCGCGGTCTGTAGCGAGCCGGTTCGGAGGATGAAGAAGAATGTTGGTTGCTTGGAGAGAACTCCGCCATTTGTGAGTGAGGAGAGAGGACCGCCGTCGTTGGCGATTGATTTTTGTTGCCGCTCGACATGGTCAACACGTCGAGTCGGCACCTTGTTCTCGCCGGCACCTGAACGTCTTCACGGAGCCCGTGTCTGTCTTATTGCATGTACCTCTGCGCGCACCCGTGTCTCCCGTCCCCTCCCCTCGAGCGACGAGGTAACACGAGGCCATGTTGTATAGGGTGGGACTATAGGGAAGTCGACGTTTGACTAGGGATTCGTTTCTTTTGTTTGGACGGTGTCGTAGTCGTTTGTGGTGAAAGTACGCCTCCTTCACCCGCCCCCGCCGCCGGCCGCCCGTTCTTGAAGCCGCTGCAGCCTTGCAGGCGGTGAGTGGGGAAAATGCCGGTGCTCCGCTCCCCCCCCATCCCCACCGAGGTTTAGCTCACATTTTCGCACTGTTTGGTGTGTTCATGGATGAACGTGTTTCCGAAGGTGGTTGTTTTGTTTTTGAAGGGGAGGGGAAGGGGGGATGACTGGCCTGCTTTTTCTGTGGTGCGAGCACCTTCTCCTTTGCGCAGGAGGAGGCCCTCGCGCCCCACCATGACCTTGCGTGTGTTGTCGAAACCACGGGCCCCACCATGACCTTGCGTGTGTTGTCGAAACCACGGGAAACGATGTGTTCTGTGGCATCTAGCGGGTTGGACGGTAGACAACCCGTCTTTGATAATACCATTGTTTCTGTGTTTCTGTTGATGGAGCATAGGGAAGCGAGCGGACGAAAGAGGACCACGAGCGTTGTTGTAGACACGTGTCTCGCTGGTCGCGTATGGGTTGTGCTTGTGTCATGCAAAGAGGTGTGTCGTCAATGACCCAGGGCACGCTGCCATGTGCAACCGACCTCGGCGTAGCTGCACCACCAGATGTACACCGCTAGTGGCGGAATCAAAAAGTTCGATGTGTTTGGTGTGTGTAAAGCGTGCGCAGTGATTCTTTTGCGCGCCGCTGACAGCGAAGAGGAACACTTAGTAGCGTCAACATATCCGAGGCCGCCGAGAGATGCGACATGTATTGCTTGTGTCTAACCACACGCATATTTATCCGGGCAGCGCGCGTTTTTTTCCGTGGCCTTCTGTTTGTAGGCACTTGTATGTGCAGCAGGCACATGTTTGCCCTATAAATGAAACGCATGAAATGTGCAGAATATGTCCACTTGCACAAGAGTGCGCCGATGGCAACTCCTGCGAATGTTGTTGTCGTCACATTGAAAAACGTTCCGTGCTTTCCACCCGGCAGCTTCTTCTGTCCGTACTAGTCAAACACTTGACGCGGTCGATTCCCGTGGTCATCGGCTAGCTCACCCCAAAAAGGTAGACGAAAGTAAAATGGATCCGAAGGGTCAACAGAAATCAGCGGAAACAGTCAAGGACCCTCCGCTTGCCTCCACACGCTGTGCGAGGTAACCAACCATAGGCTGGAGAAAAAGGATGGCCATCGTTGAAACAATTTCACAAGTCACAAGCGTCGTGGAAAGGAAACATCACAACACTATCCGCAGCTTGTTCAACATGAGACTGCAAGAAGCGAGGCATGTGCCCTCCTAGAAAAAAAAACAGTCGACATTATGCTGAAAGGAGACACGGTCCAAGGAGTCTCGTGGGCTCCCCTCCCGTCAACTCCGACGCCCGCCGATGACGAAGACGGTCCAGCGTTGACTATTTCGTTTTTTTTTGCGCTCTTGGGTGCTCCTGTACAAATTGGTGCCACAACAATCACCGCCGCCGCCGCGGTCATCGTTGTCGAGGGTCATGACATACTCGAAGCCGATCGAGGCGAACAGCTTGCTCGTGAGCCTGAGCACGGCCCGCCCGAACGGCAGCGGAACAACCCACGAGTTGAGGTTCCCGTCGGTGCACTCCTTCTTGACGCTCTACGCCAGCGCTCGGCTGACGTAGAGCTGCTTAGCCCCGTTGAACTGGAGACGAGGGAATCAATCGTCGCATGGGGCGCGGAGTGCGATCAGAGAGGGAGAGAGAGATGCGGATAAGGGGTGCAGGTGGGAGGTTGGTTATAGGGGTGACGACGAGACGAGGGACGACAGCAAGGAGAATTTTTATCATATGTGAGAGGAGGGGCAGGAAGCAAGAAGAGCGTGAAGGTGTTCGAAAAGATGGCACCTTAAGTGAGGGGGGGCTCAGAGGAGGTTCACTGCTGTCAAGTCCCGTTCAACGACGAGGCAGCAGTATTTATTTAGTGGCGCCCAAGACCAACCGTTGGAGGGTCGTCGGCAACACAAAGTGGAAGCAATTTTGACTCGTGCCTTCCATGAGCACAGATACATACTGACTGCTGTACACGTTACGTAGTTCTGTAGCACGTTTACCCGCTGACGAGTGCCTCCGATCATCTCAAACACGCAAGTTGGCACGACACCGAGAGACGGTGCTAGGCAATTGATGAGTCACTGCGTGAAAAACAACATGATGGGTTTGAAGAGTGGCATGTACCATCTTTCGTGGCGAACGCGCGAAACACTCAGCAACAAGCAAGGCGCCGGAACAACGTCGAAGCTTTTTTCGCAGGATATCTCACGCACATAGCACAAAATAGTCAAAACGGGGGTTAGCTTTTATTACCTTGTCGTGAACGAAAACCACGCAGACGGAAGACGCGCTTGCTTTTCCCGCTTCCTTCTTCTCCCTATCCTGGCCCTGCTTCTCTCGCACCCCCGTCTCCGCTCGCTCGTGCAGCGGTGTCTACCGCTGCTGCTTGAGAGAATGATTCGTGTGCCGGCGCGTCCATGACGTTGTTGGGACTGTTCGTGGCGGTGATGGCGCCGGCGGGCTGGAAGTCGAACACGAGAACTGAGCGGCCGAGTTTCTTGAGCCCGGCCTTGCGGGTAACGTCTTGTCGCACGGTGAGCTTGAGCGCTTCGTCGGCGTTCGATCTGAACTCCGTCTTATTTTGAGGCGGTGCAAAACGCATTCATACACAGCGACAAAGGGCGATAACAGAGGAGGGGGTCACAGGCGATAAAAGAGCTGCATGCTATCATGACCCGCTGAGATGCAAATCAAGCGTTCGCACGGCTTTCGCAGCACTGGTAATTTCTGATGGAATCTCTTGGCCCCCCGAACTTCGCGGGAGACCTCGGGAAATTTCGGGAGAACACACCGACATTCAAGTATCAAACCGGCGTGTATGTGCACCATACACAGCAGAATATCTACCGGACCGCCTGTACTCATGCGAATCTGACAGACTTCAACGGAGGACACCCCCACAATACAAAGTGCCGCCACTGCCTGCACATCTTTCATGTGTACCTTGCATGCTATACTGCTGCTGCCATCGCTAACTAGACTGGTGCACCGAAGAATCGAATCTCATTTAGCAGAGATTTAAATTTGAACAAGTTGCACCACCATATGCTTCACTTCGGTCGCTGATGCCAACAGCTCGTCGTACGAGGCAGGCGTAGCCATCACAGTCAGGATGTGACCCGCGATGTATTCGCGTCTCGAGAGGGAGACGTCAGGCAGGTAGGAACGTAGGAACACTGCTGGTCAACCAACGACAAGCGTGCCCCCTGCTCCGCCTTCCCCCCTGCACCATCAAATTTATTCCACGGACTCCCGTTGATTGATTGTGTCTGCACTGTTTGGCCATTGCTGTCCCCTGTTGCACACAGGCCAGGAGCATCGTAGCCTTCGCACGCTATGCGCTTGCTGTGCTTCGCAGCAGCTTCCGCTGTCGGTGTTGCCGTGGCGTTTGTGCCTAGTGCTATCCCCTTCAGCAGCTGCGTGCGAACATCGTCGTCGGCAGCAGGCAATCAGCCCCGTCAGCGAAACGATGCTGAATACGCCGCATCATCGGCAAGAAGAAGAGCAGCAACTGCAGCAGCAGCAGCAGCAGCAGCAGCATCAGAAGAAGGAAGAGGAGGAGACGGCGGACGCGTGGGTGTCATCGTATGTGACCATGGCTCCCGTCGCGAGAGCGCAAACACGATGCTGTTTGAGGTGGCGGAGCGATATCGCTCCTTCTCTGGCTTTGAAATCGTCGAGGTGGGTCCAAGCAACAGCAGTCGCGACGATCACAGGCGATGACCACACCCACTTTGTTGCTGTTGCTGCACGCACAGCGATGTAAAGTCACGCACGCCCATGGCCCCCTATTGCACTTGCGTGAGTCATCACAGGCGTGGTTGCGGGCTGATTTAGGTAGAACCAAAACAATGATCCGATAGGATATTGACAGAGACTTGTTCGGTGAAGGTCACGATCCGAGGAACACCAGAAGGGACTACTTCCTTCTTATGTACCATGTTAGTACCTCGTGTAGTGCCACGACGCGTGTTCACGATTCGCATCCACACGTAACCGTGTTAGGTAACACATGTGGTTTACTGAAGACACGCGTAAACCTTTGACCAGTATTTTTATGGTGCTCGCCTCGTACTGCGGCCGGACACCGTTATTGTCCTCTAGATACAGCAGCAGTAGACTAGCTTACTGATATACATGCCATCGATCTCCGCTAGTACATGTATGGAGCCCGTGATTCTCTGCAACCCTTAGACCACGACCACAAGCAGTAGAGTATGGGCCCGCAGGTAAGAAACGTCAAAATCGGCTGGAGCCTCAATCCCTTATTTTGGGTCCAAGGACCAGCCGAAGTCGTCCATTTCTTAAACGGCATTTCTTATGCCTTTTAACTGCTGTCGCATCCTCCTAATCCTCTTATTTCTCACTCGTATGTATATTGTCTTCTCATTTGGCTAAGAACACAACAATACACCAAACGGCGGACAACATGTTGGTTGGGTGACGAAAATAACCACTTTCCCCCCTACAAAAAATCTGCTACTGTTCAGCTAGGTAGGGAGGTGGGAGCACGGAAGGAGCAGCAGTGGGCTGTTTCTTATTGGACACGCTCCTCCAGCTACCCCTTGCTTCTGACGTCTTGGGGGTATCGCACCATCATCATGTGTTTTGTTTGGATGTACCTTATGTTGTGGTCGAGAATGAGCTGTGTTTGCTTTTTTCTTGTTCTTCGTAAAAAAATTAGCTTGATTTTCTAGCAGTTTTTTTCTCAACTGCGGGCCCGTGCTGTACAAGTAGGCGAATCTCGGACGCTCCTTTCCTCTTCTCATCCTGGTCACGTGCTGCAGCACGCGCAACAAATGTAGTCTCAGCTGTACGGATAGCATGCCGCCTCTTGGAGAAAGCCTTGTTCACAGCGGCACAATAGTGAGCACCACAGAGGCGACGAATTCCCGAAAGAGGAGAATAAAAAAGGTGTACCTCTTGTGCCGGTTGCAATAACGGCAGTCGGCGAGGATGACCAGGCCGTAGTCGGTCTTGCTGTGGATGGCGCGCCCGATGCGCTGCGCGCACGTAGAGTATTCGATCCCTCATCGCCACTACATAGTTTTTCGATCAACGTGGTCGCTGCGTGCACCTCCTTTGTGCGTTGACCGGGTGGTAGCGTTTTCCCATACCATGAAGCCCCTCAAACGCCCCCCCCTTCACACACGTATGTAGGCGGCACATATGGAGCTCGCGGAGCCAAGCATCGAGGAAGCCTTCGACCGCTGCGTGGCCGCGGGCGCGCAGAAAGTAGTCCTGCACCCGTTCTTCCTGAGCCCCGGCCGGCACGTTACGTCGGACATCCCGGCGCTCATGGTCGCGGCCGCGAAGCGGCATCCAGGAGTAGGCTGGGTCGTGTCGGAGCCGCTGGGGCTTCAGGAACTCATGCCGCGGGTGATGCACGCGGCCGTGTCGGAGTCGGTTGCGGGAGGAGCGTGGCGACACGGCGGAGAGTAGCGCTCTACATTGCTTGGATGCACCCCATACCCATGCCCTGGTGGTGTGTGTGTGTGGGGGGGGTGTACTCATAGTCGTGCATGCCGTAGTCGTTAGACCATTGACCTCGCATCCCTACAAAGCCGGGACGGAGCACGCCGCGTTCTCACCGGACCAGGCTCTCACATCACCAAGCGCGAAGCGCCGTGAGATGTTCGGCGAGTCGCATGAAGGGTGCGCTGCATCCTGCTAAGGGTTTTCGGCATCTTGTGCTTACTTCCTTGCGTACGGATGACAGCTGCGTATGACTTTATTTACTTTCTCGTGCTTTCACTTCGAGAGACAGTTGTAAGCACCGTGTAACTGCCTCGAGGGTGCTTGGCCATTTCAACACAACGTGGTGCGATCATCCCCCTTGCGCGGAGTGAGGGTTCACCCCGCACAACATGATCTACTCTACCACCATTATGGTGGTGTGGGGGAGGAGATACGGTTGATCTCCCCCAGTTTGCGTTTGAGCTACCGTTTTCGATGCAGTTTCACGGGAGTAAAGATATGTACATTTTTTTCTGTGCAACCGTGTGGTTTATCTTCCCTCGTTGGCGTGAAGAATTGCCCATTCTTGTTGGTTGGGTTGCTCACTCCCCCCTCCTTGGCAGGGGCTAGAAGCTGCTTCCACACGTGCATGAACCACTCGGTTTGGCAAAATCAAGTCGCTGGCTCTGTTTGTCTCCCAATGTCTGGTTAGGCCCCCGTATTTCGACCACCAATCGTGCGTGTATGTAGGTGCGTGCAAAAGAAGACATGTTCTGCGCTTCCTTTACTTTGGACGGACGGCGCGTCTACTTTGCCTGTTGGATCTGAGCACTGACCCTCGTTTGACAAGAGGGGGTGCCCAACCAACGTGGACGCGCGTGTAAAACGCGAATGACCATGGCAAGCATTTGTCAGAGTAGTGGTGGTCTTTAGGAGAGTAGTGGGTTGGTACGTGTCGTAACATGCACCAATGCACCCTTTCTTGCGTGTTCTTTAGCCGCACCCTCCTGGCTGCGGTTCCCGTTGCCGTCCCCTCTCTAGCGTTATCTAACAACCGGAGACGAAATCACCGTTTGTTTTCGAAGAGTCCTCTGGGGCACTGGAGATCATACTGCTGTCGCACGATCGGGACCGACCGGTCATGTCTCTCAGGTCGCTGCTCACAAACCTCGCTGGAGTAAGTGGGCTTTTCCCCGAGCAACCCAGCCCAACAGTCCCTTGCAACTTCTCGATCAATACACACACGACTTTTCCGATGGTTCTATCATCCTTGTTTCATGCGATTGGTTCATCCAAGTAGACACGTGGCCTGCCTACCCAAGCACGTCGCTCACACGCAGAGGGGGTACGTGAGTGCTTCAATGCTGCGGCAAGGTTGACCCTTCGACCAGTCGCAACGGTCCATCTTACACAACTTATTACAGAACCAATGAGAAGAGACTCCGCGGAACCGTTCCACGTTGTTTACCCGAGAACAAAGGATACTCAGCCCTTTCCGACCGAGTTTTGGAGCTCCCAAGGTTAAACGAACGTTGTAGGCACGGGCTATCCGAAAGCGGAGGGGCTCACTTCGTGGAGCAGATCAGATAGGCATGATACTCTGCAATCCTCGCCTTCCGAACCAATTTGCCCGCCCGCTCCAGCATGATAAAACATCGAACGGCACCGTCTGACTCTCCACTACACGTCGCCGGTAGCACCTCGCCGTTTGGCGAACACAAGGACCAAACTCGACACCAACCTTGCTCCTTCGCTCACTCGATGAGCGACCAGCTGATCCATGTGTGGCCTCAAGCGACGATTTTCTACGACGTCATCCTGCCTGTCGGCTCAAGCCTCACGCTCATGCACAACGACTTCTTCACCATCCTCCTTCGGGCGCTCGTTTGTCAAGCATGTGTGGCGGCTTCCGCCGAGCTTACTCCACCCGCTTTCCAACCACGGAACAGACCGGATGCTCCTCGATCTCGACCCTCGTATCCCCCCTAGCTAGTTGGAGCTTGCTGGCATCGACGCCGGCATCGTCCTGCTCCGCGAGTGCCCCCCGCGGCACGGCATTGCTCGAATAATCAGCCGCAGAGGGTGGAGACACGGATGGCACAGGGGCACGCGAATCCACACTGCCATCGCACGGAGCAGCATGTTCCTGCTACTGATGATGTGGAGTTAGGTCTTCACTTGCAGGCCTATTCTCGGAGTCTCCCCTCTCGGGAGAAGGAGAAGGACGCAAAGGACCGGTAGACGATGTCGCACGCGCCGCGGCTCAATCTTGTGTCGGATGGGCAGAATCGCTTCCTCCGTGACCCGATGTCGAGCCACCGCCGGTCTCGCCTCCGGTTTCTGAGGAAGTAGTTGGTTCGTTTGAGTCTCAAGCCGGATACCGAAGCATGCCCCATCGAAGCCCCGTAGGAGAGACTATTATCCGGAAACAACCTTTGTCCAATATCAGCAAAAGCCCCCAGCCCCCAGCACCGCGAGATGGTCCAAGCCTACCAGAGGTTGACGACGGTTGCGATACAGGGGTAGGTTGCACACGCCATCAGAACGACATACTGAACCTTCGCCCAACGGAGGCGATACATCATTCATTCTTACCTGCGTCCCGGTGTTGTGTCGAGACTTCCACGTTCCCCGCGGCACCCTCGACGTTGTCGCCAGCCGCCGCAATGGCCGTGGAGGGCGTTCGTTGCTGTCGCTTGCGTCGGCACAAGCACCACAGCAACGCCCCAGCTACAAGCGCAAACACCAAGGCGGCTACGCTTGCGAGAGCGATCACCGTGCTCGAGCTAAATGTATCGCCTGCTCCTTCGCCGTCACCATCGCCTGTCGCTGTGGCGTATTCGCAACAGTTCGTGAGCCTCTCATCATTCGATAGGGTAGCAAGTATCAATGGAGGACCATGGGAGAGCATGTACTGCGCACTCCCCTCGCTGGAGGACTGGAAGTCAGACATGCAAGGCGCACATGAACACGGTCGTCGGTGGACGGATGCCTTTCACCCCGTCTACCAGGGTGCGCTTTCTTTGGCCACGCGCGATCCGCTTGCGTGTGTCGAGGGATGCCGCAAGTGTAACTGCCTACAATAAGGGCGTTCGGTTGAGTACAGAAAACCCAAAAGTATTGCGCGGTACCCCGGGAAAACCGTAGACATGTCTTAGAAAGTGCGAAATTGTCCCCCGTGTAAGCCCGTGATGCTTTCAGAGCTCCGTGTCCGGAAGGCCGATACCCCCTACCTTTTGATCAGAAGGCGGGGAGTAACAAGGCATCAATGAACCGAAAGCATAAGGGAGCCCTACCACGTACTGCTATTTTGTCCTCCATGAGACCTCACAGCTCGCAGATACGTATGACATTGACAACCGCTCGACCAGCATCACTTCCATGTGGGGGGGGCTTGTCTGACCTTCAAATATTAATGGCGCGGCCGTAAGCAGGCGCGTGAGCTCCGGTGATTGCGTTCCTTCCGCAGACCTGGCAGACCCAGAGCCTGAAGGGGCCGGCGTATTTTCCGCCATCGTTGTCGGCGAAATCGTTTCCAACGCCACGCCCAAGCCCGGTGCGTCCGGTACGGACACAACCTCGCCCGCCCCCAAATCGATCGAAGTTAACTCTTTGACTTCTCCGGGTTCATCCCCGATATTAGTTTCATCACTCCCCGATCCCAGCTGCCTTCCTGAGTTGAGGCCAAAGCACGCCAAAACCCCTTCTGCTCCGGAGACGCAGGTGTGAAATCTCCCCGCGAAAACGTTGGAGGCCGCTCGGAGACCGGGACCAAAGGATAGGGCTACGGTCGGAAGGTTGTCGCCCATCTCGCCCGGACCCGTTCCGCGATCCAGCGAGTCGCCGAGTCCCAGTGACCCCACTGAGTTGCCTCCCCAGCATTTCAGCGTGCTATCGTCCAACACTATGTGCAAGCGGGTGTGTGTGGGGGGGGGTTGTGGTGAAGTAACCCCGTGCAATGTCCAACAGGCAGAGGGAGCCTTCCTGACAGAATCGCCACGGAGAACAACAACAACAACAACAACAACAACCGAGCAAACCTGCACATGAGTGTCCCCCCCAGGGACACGGCGATGGCCGTTCGGCCAGCGCCGAGATCTACAGGCCCAAGGTTGTCGCCCACGCTATCGACGGCGTTCCCGATTGAGTCAGTACTGCCCTGCCCTAGCTGACCACTTGATCCTAAACCTGCACGCACGGATGCGTACGAGCCCCTTCGTTTGTCACATTGTGCATCGCCTCTACATGCCTCACAACATGACGGTGAACAGTTGCTCGGCTGGGCGCTCCAGCCGAGCGTGCTCCATCATCATCCTGCCCTCGTCCCGCAGCTCCTCGAGAAAAGCTACGAATTTCTGCTAGCTAGGTCCGAGCTTCCATATAGCTAGCTGCTACCCTCCGATGCCGCGTGACTCTTCGACACGGGCTGCATGTTACACACTGTCCTTTCGTCAACACGTGGCCCTCGGGTCCAGTGGACACGCGTCCATCAAACTCTGGCTGCAGGAGCAGCGAGGCAGCAGAATGAGCACTCCGTGAGACCTTCTCTTTTTGGGACCCCAGAAAACCGAACCAAGACATCCGAACCAACACGCCTCCAGGGCGGCACAACAAGAACCCAGCTACATTCGTGGATCTGAGAGATATTCCGAATTCTTCCGAACACAACAAACTACAGTATGTTTCGTCTTAGCAAAGTTTCATTTTTCTGCAACACATGTTTGATTGCGGTAGCCGTCCAGGTGTATGTTCTCTTTTAGCTCTGATCGTCGGCAACGGTCATGCCTACGTTCGCTCTTCTCTCGTGGATTCTTTACGTCGGACGACGTTGTACCTGCTAACAACATGTCTTGACGATTATACCAACAAATGTTTTACCCCCACCAACGATTCGTGTTGTTCACATGATTAATGGCCTACGTTCTGGAGAGTGTCGTGGCTCACCCATAGTCATCGTCCTGGCTCCACCGATTCAATTGTCGTTACCCCCGGCTGTCCATATGCCTCTATTCCGCACTTCCATCATTACGACTTTCGCGGGAGCTCCCGTCGCACGCGACAGGCTTCCGCGGATGCACATACATGCGGAAGTAGCGGGTGCTGTACGGTAGTTGGCCCGATGCAGTGGCATCACAATTCTTGAGTTTTTTTTTTTCACAATCGCAAAAAACATACCCGATAAATTTATATTGAAAAATGGCACCAACCTGAAAAATAGTGGAATATTCTCCTCTTGCCCCTTCATGCCACAACATCAACGCCGACAGTGTCGTTCGACAGTATCGATGGACGGGTCATGTCTTTTTCTGGATGAGCATCGCACATGCACTTCATCAACTCACCCCAGCACTTCATGTCACCCGTGTAAAGCAGCGCACAAGTGTCGAAGGAATCCGGCCGCAACCGCGATTGCCCTCTGCTCCGTTCCAAGGTCCACCGCAGGCAGCGATTCCCCCATCTGACCGACAGCGATGCCCCTCGCAGCCATATCCTCGCAACCCAGCTGGCCACCGTCGTTATTACCTGGCGTGCGAAAATACGGCACAGAGAGACATCGAATTGCTTACCAGGCACGGGAGTTGTTCGCGCAAAACATGCACAGCGCGAACATCGTCATCACCAAAAAAAAATACCAACGATGTCAAGAGTGTATTAATAGTTCTTCCAGCCTGCAACCGACCGCAACAACAGTCAAACATCACCGGGGAAGGAGCAGTACGCGGGTGCTGGCAAAAAACGAAAATAAGCATGCCAGTGTGTGTACAATCTTGAGCCCATTTTTACTCCTTGCTCCTTTCGAAATAAAATACTATGTTTCCGCCCTCCAGGCAGGGTCGCACACGAGCAGGGACCACACGGAAACAGCACTTGTTGTGCTCCACTTTCCTTCTTCGCTGCTGAAAGCCAAAGACGTTATCTCACCCCAGCTTTCACGTCGCCGTCCCCGACTACAGCGCACGTGTGTCTCGTCCCTAGAGCAACCGATGAGACAAGCACCTCGTCCCCTAAGTCCACAAACGGGAGGTTGTCCCCCATCTGGCCCGTGGCGTTCCCTCTCTGTAACGTGTCCGACCTAGCTGTCTTCCCTCGTTCTCCACCCAGCACTTTAAGTTCCCGTCGGCGAGTACAGCGCATGCGTGCGAGCCCGCGAGGGCGATGTTTTCCACGGCGACGCCGGTTCCCAGATCAAGTACGGGTAGGCTGTCCCACATCTCGAACGCGTCGTCCTGCCCACCCCTCGTCTCATTGCCGCCCACCCCTAGCTGGCCGGCGCTGTTGCGCCTCCAGTACTTGACGGCCCCGTCGACGGCGAGGGCGCAGCTGAACTCGCTCCCAGAGGCGACCAAGCTGGCCTCGAACTCCCCCAAGGGAACGTACGGGAGACTGTCACCCATGTCGGAGGCGTCATCTCCACGGACGAGGCTGTCGTTCTGGCCTAACTGCCCCCAGAAATTCTCACCCTAGCACTTTACAACAAAGAGGGACAATGCCGGCGGATATCGCAAGATAGGATGGAGTTCGGGAGACAAGGTGGAAGGCGGGATGCTGGTGGATGAAAACGGATCAACTCATATGTATGTCTGGCAATGCAACAAACTAACAATGACCACACGTACGTACGAACAAGCTCTGGGTTTCGCGTGCATATAAGAGCCACCCGCAATCGAACAAAAAAAAATACCTTGATTTTTCCGCCCACCAGAACCACGCAGCTGTGTGAAGCCTTGGCCGACGCCGCCCTTGCTCCCGGGGTACACCCCAGAGCTAACACCAACCACACAAAACGCGACATCCAACTCGGACGCTTCCACCGTTTCTTCCAGCAAGTCGAACACCTCGCTTCTTCTCTCGTGGCTCGCTCCTCTTGAAAAAGTGCAGCTGTGGTGTTTGCCGCAGGCGGGACAAGACGATGCCACGAAGAGCACAATCCGCACTGACGATTACTGGTTCTGTGTATCGGCGCAAGACAAGCGGAACGAGTGCATCGTCTGGAAATATGTTTGAGGTGACGAAAAGGACGAAATAGCTATCTATATGGGGAGGGCTTGTGTTTCTAAACCTTACCTGGGAAGATGCATTAACCCCAAAAGACCAGCATCTCAAGAAAACAAAGCAGCAAAATAGCCTTGCCACTACAATCGTGGTCGTCCCGGCCGCTTACATATCGTTCGTCAAATGCCCCCCCCAACGCACATGTTCTGAGCGACTTTTGTTGAAAGCAGACTTTGAATGGAAACAAAGAATGTCGGGTGCTGGGGGGCACCGTCACTTTCCAGGGCTTGGAATGCATTTTCACCCCGGGCGGGCGGGTCACGGGCCGGGTGGATCGCGCAGCCTGCTCCCCCTGCTCCTTCGATTTGAGACGGTGCTGACGAAACCCTAGTTTTCGCGGATTCACCGCAACAGATCCGCGGACCGAACACTCGTCTGTGCGTATTATCCTGAGCCTAGTCCGGTGAGAACCTGGCGTGCTCCGTCCCGGCTCTGTAGGGATGCGAGGTCAATGGTCTAACGACG